GATCCAAAGAGATGCCTAGGGTCAATAAGCAAGCCACTGGGAAAAGACTCATGTAGTTCTCCTATAGCCCAGTTAATTAGGTGCAGGGGGAGGTCAAGGTTTCACACTGTAGCCCAGGCTAGCCTGGAACTTGCAGTGATCCTCATACCTCAGCTTCCCAAGTGCTTGGGTGCTAGGCAAGCATCTTGCTGTCACTCACACATGAGCTTTCCCCCCTATTAGGGAATCCGTTAGTCTTTCTGATGGGCTGTGAACAAATGTCACATGCCTGTGTAACCCCCTAAACCTCAATACACACAATGGGCCCAGGATGATCTAAATCAAATTCTTTAAAGTCAAAGCAGCGTTCACCTGTGGCTCTCTGTGCTTTTGTGATGACAGATGGCAGAACCTGTCTGCCTAGCCCAGGGAGTGGCCCTGGGGACTCATCCTTGGCTCAGGACACAGAGGGTGGCTTCAGAGTCAGCCAGATTTGATTATGAGTCTTGACCAAACTGCTTACAAGCTGTGTGACCCAGAACAGAGAGAGTCTGGGAAGGCAGGGCTCATCATACCTTCAGTGGCTGGAAATACTGGATGGGTGCCCATGGGTGCCTGACTCGCACTGAGCTGGAAAGCCATGGGTGTCGCTAGGACTTCCAGTCTTTTCCTCACAGACTTCTCAGAAGCTTGCTCATGCCTGTCCAGCTGCCCTCTGGCATAGTGGCCCTCTTCCCCCTCTCTCTCCTCTGTCTCCTTAAGTCTTTCCCCGGTGCCAATCACAAGGCTCTCCCGTGCTATTGAAGCAGGCACCTGATACCCTTGGCTCTTAGTCCTTGGGAGAGGTGGCAGGCAGGAGGACCCCAACAGCAGCAGCAGCTTGGCGACAAAAGTAACTGTGGGCTGAACTTGGCAGGTCCCTGCCCTGGTTTCAATGTAGCACAGCCTGTGTCCCCAGAAGTCGATTCCTTTCCTGAGTGTGGCAGGCCATGGTAATACGGGGCACTCTGGTCTGGCAAGCCCTCCTCCTCCCAGTAAAGCTGATGGCAGCCAAGGAGCCTCCTGAGGATAGAACTCACCTCTTGCCTTCTAAACTGCAGAGCAGCCAAGCAAGGCTCTGGAGACCAGCCTGGACTCTCTGCCCCGCTGCAGCAAGAACTCTGCTTTCAAAGTGTCTGCCTTTGCTTTGAATTCACAGTGTTGGGGATGGGATCGAGGGAGGCAGGGGCCCGACCACTGAGCCGGCCCCCAATCCGTACTGTCTGGTTTCATTTCACTGTTTGCCTTGAAGTTGGAGTCTATTGAAACTCGATCTGGCTGAGAATGAGTAGCCATGACCCACCCCCTCTGGCCTCAGCCAGGTCTAGGGAGCACTCTGGTATTGAAGCAGAGATGTCCTTCTCCAGCTGGGGGAGGCTGGTCTCTCCTGTTGAAGACCAGAGAGCTAGGCTACTGCAACCTTAGCTTTTCTAGAGAATGTGATAAGATCACCTCCCAGGCCCCAATGGCAATCACCTCCATTCTGGTTACTGGGATATCATTTGCATATGAGAAAAAGATGTGGGTATCCTGTGACTCCTGAGTTAGACCTCAGGAATTGTTGCCTGTCGGTGCCTACCTGGGCCTTGAGTCCCCTCATTGATGGATATATGGAGTCAACATTTAAACCTCTAGCTATTCATTTGCCCAGTCTACGTGTTTTTAAGGCCCTGTTACATTCCTGGCAGCCAGGCATTATAGCAAGGCAGACAAAAGCTGCCTTTCTTGAAGTTGAAACTTGGATGCAGGGGACCAGAGAGCCAAGGAGAACCAAAATGAGACTGTCTCAGACTAAGATGACAGCATCCATCCATGGGGAGGAGTGTTTGTTACCCGGGAACTGAGCAGAGGCTGTGATTCGGGCTGTCACATCACAGTGGCCTTTGACCTTCCTCTTGGGTATGACCTTTAGTGGTTTTGCTATGGTTGCTCATCCATCCCTCATGCAGTGACATGGATGTGTTTCCATTTTCTTCTCTGGAGTCATGGTTAGGACTGGGGGTCAGCATGGCCCATGGATTGTCAGTTCTGTAGCCCAGTATAGTTCTATAGAGTTTTGACTCTGTGTGTGTGTGTTGTGCACAAACACACGTGTAGTTGTACATGCCTATGTATGTGGTGTGAAGGCCAGAGGAGGGCAGCGGATGTCACACTCTATCATTATCCACCTTTTTTTCTTGACACAGTGTCTCCCACTGAACCTGGAGCTAGAGACTTGCGGTCAACAAGCCCCAGTGATCCTGCTGTCTCGACCTTTCAGGTCCTAGACTTACAGGCAAGCATGGCAGTGCCTGGCTTTTTACCTGGGGTCTGAGGAGCCGAACTCAGGTCGCCATGCTAGTACAGCAAACACTTTACTGATTGAGCCATCTCCCCAGCCCACATTGTCTTCTAGTGGTACCCCTTTTTATATAGGCCCACCTCAAGCCACCTCACAGAATCAAAATGCCCATGGCTTCCTTGGAATGTTCTGTCTCTAGTTTTCACATGTGGATCCACAACTGAAGGTTTTAGCGTGACAGCTATACATGGGTCTCCTCAGTAACCCGAGGAGGATGAGCCCCCTTCCCTCTGCTAACAATGCATTTTTAAAACCTAGACAAAGTATTAATTACCTCTGTGTCGCCAGGCTGCCTCAGATGTGAACAGTGATGGGCAGGTCCAGCTCTGGGGTTTAAGAGCAGCCTGTCAGAGCCAAACACTCCTCTCTGCCCCCACCCCAGGTCACTGCCTGTTAAGGACATGCTGAGGGCTATGTGGCCCAAATCGTCTAAGCATAAAATTAGCTTCTGTGTCTATTCTGCAAGGGAAAGCAAACTGGGCTAAATATACCACAGGGCCATGAGTGGTCAACAAGCCAGTTAGAAGACAAACAGCAGGCCGGTGGGAACCTGATTTCCCCAGGGGCCCATGGATTGGAGACCATGGGTTCCGAAGGCTGCTGCTATTAAACTTACAGTCCTGCTAGGGTGTGGCCCAGACGGTTGAGTGTTTGCCCAGCATGTGTGCAGCGTTCCAGAACCAGATGTGGTGCTACACACCTGTTAAAACAGCACTTGGGAGGAGGAGGCAAGAGGATCAGAAATTCAAGATCAGCCTGGGCTATATAATAAAAAGGAGACCAGAGAAGGCTATGTGAGATCTTGTCTCAAAAAACAAAACAAGCATCCTGCATGTGTAACAGGCTGGCCACTCTGTCCTGCTGCAGCTGTCTGTGCTCTATTCACCATAAACACACACACACACACACACACACACACACACACACACTCATGCCTTCCACATCCGTGTGCTCATAAGGCACATAGCATGTTCTCATGTACCACCTGCACATACATGTAAATATGCACATGTATTCACACACACACACTCCTGATCATGCATTTGCACACATGCATGCATGCATGTGTGTATGTGCATGTATGTACATAGCCATGCATACACACCTATGCCCATGCACACAACTGTGAATTCTGTATGTGATCCTGTCACACCAATGAAACTTCCCTTTTTGAAGCTCCCAGAAGCCCCAGCCTGACTTTCCTCCATTTCTTGTCAACTGCCTCTGCCTCTGGAGTGTCCTCATCTCCCTTCTCCCAGGCACCCGCAGTGTCTCCCGTGCAGCTCTCAGGTAGCCAGATGCACCAGAAATATTTACTGGGTGGAAGGCGCAGACTTCAAGCTGAGGGAGGATGTTGTCCCAGATATTTTTAGAGTGATTTTTAACAAAGCGGGGAGTTTCAGATGAAGGTGAAAGTTTAACAAGAAAACATCTCGGTGGCATCGCGTTTCCCACTCCCCGATCAGCTGTGCTTTTAGAACAGTTGGAAAGAATGCAGGGTTGAAAACAGAGCCTGTCCATCTAAGCACCAGCCGACTGGGCGATCCTGCTCGGCAACATTTCCTGCCCACAACCCCCGCCCGACCGAAGGATGGACAGACTGGGGCCTTGCCCTTGCCTCCTCCATGATCTCCAAATCTACCCTAAACTACAGCCCAGATGCCTTGCCTCCAGGCTCCCTCAGCCACCGAGGGTTCTGGAATCCCAGCTCCCAAGAGTAGGTCTTTGAGTCGCCTCACTGGAAGAGGGATCTGCTTATTTGTTTGGCTGTTTAGTTTAGTTTTGGGTTCTCTGAATGCAAAAGATGAGTAATGTACAGACTTCTGCCTCCTTTCAGGAATGGGAAAAGACGGTTTCGTTTTTCTTTCTGGGCAATCCTACACTCCATCCATTTCACTGGACATGAACACTGACAGTTGAGACCCTGCTGTGTGGAGGGCTGAGAGACAATGAAGAGGCCAATGGGCGGGACAGGCCCACCCCAGTAGCTAGTGGGGCATATACAAACACCCGGAAAGGGGTGACCTTGTATGTGCAAAGGTACTAGGAGGGTCTGCCGACCAAGGTGGTAGGGCCAGTGGCTAAGGAGGCCATGCATATCATTCTAAGAAGACATATTTTCTCCTCTAAGACAATAGGGAGCCAGTGAGGTTAGTATACTGACCCCAGCAGGTTGACTGGATGCGACTCATCATTAACTGTTGCAGTCCCCCAGGGAGACTGTGATGTGATTGACCATGGCCCAGCGATGCCATCTCTCTCTCTGCCCCCCATCCTTGGCTCCTCCAGGAGAGCTGAGGTCAGACTACACTTCATTAAACCTCACAGCATGTTTTGGCTGCTCTGAGCACTGACCTTGTTGGCCTCCTGCAGGGACAGATCTGGTTTTCCCTTTTAGCATAGGGGTGGTGGCTGGAACATCTGGAATGTATTAGAGCCTGGTAGCTCAGCCCTGCCTGGTACCTCCTTCACATAGAACCTCCCCAATCAGAGCTGACACTCTCCCATTCTCTCTCTTCTCTCAGACCTCTCATCTGCCCAGTCCACCCTGGATGCCCGGGATTTGAAGACAGCCATCGCTTGAGCATCTGTTGATGGTTTTTTACTGTGGCATAGGAGAGTTGTTTCCTCGGTGTGAGAAAGGAGTGTATGTCGTCACCACAGTTTTTTTAGTTCGTTTTTCTCTCTTTGAGCAGGGTCTTGCACCTTTCTGCGGCCATGATGGCCCAGTCCAAGGCCAACGGCTCACACTACGCGCTGACGGCCATCGGCCTGGGGATGCTGGTCCTGGGAGTCATTATGGCCATGTGGAACCTAGTCCCTGGTTTCAGCGCTGCAGATAAGCCAACAGCTCAGGGCAACAAGACAGAGGGAGGTAGTGGCATCCTCAAGAGCAAGACTTTCTCAGTGGCCTATGTGCTGGTTGGTGCTGGCGTGATGCTGCTGCTGCTATCCATCTGCCTGAGCATCCGGGACAAGAGGAAGCTGCGGCAGAGCGAGGAGCTGGCCCGTATCCAGCAGCAGGCAGGAGCTGTGCCTCCCACGCAGGAGGAAGACAGGTGAGACATGCCTGACTGCTCCCTCCAGCCTAGGGTAGGGACACACTTGCACACAGGCTCACTGAGAAAGAACTTCGTTCTACGAGTCTGTATTTCCCCTCTCTTCCAGGAAGGTGCCTCATACCATTTTACAAATACCTTTGTGCTTACTAGATGCAGGCTTCCCAAATCCTGTGGCTTAGGTGGATTACAGGGACCCCACAGAAACCGGTGGGGCCACTGGGGACCAGAGCTCTGGGTTGCTTGTTTGTCTCTCTGTCCCAGGTGCTGTGTGTCTTCTTTGATTTGAAAAGGTCAAGGCACCATATTTCACTTGGCCCAAACTATCACAAGCCTATTTGAAAGATAGGTGGAGGGGGGCTATATGATAAAAGTTGGCATCTCTCTTAAGGTCCATTTCTATGGCTGTGATTAAACACTCTGAGGAAAGCAACTTAAGGGGAAAAGGACTTACTTAGTTCATAATCCCAGGTCACTGTCCGTCATTTTGGGGAAGCCCAAGGAGTCAGGAGCCTGAAGCAGCTGGTTGCATCTCCCCCACTGTCAATAACGGAGAACAATGAGTCAATGTATGCGAACTCCCATGCAGCTCCATCCCTCCCTTTCATCCAGTCTCGGCCCAAGTCCATGAAGTGCCATCACATATATTCAGGGTGTATCTTCCCATCTCCATTGACATAATTAAGATAGCACGTGTATGTTGCTGGAGATTCTTGTCCTGACAGGTCCCACCATCCTTCTCAGTCCCAAATAAAAACACAGACACTATATTGATTATAAAACTGTTGGCTGATGGCTAGGGCTTCTTATTGACCAGCTCTGTCTTAATCATTAACTCATAACTACTAATCTATGCATTTCTGAATGGCCTTATCTTACCAGAGAACGCCTGGTGCATCCTGTCCTCCTGGTCTCTACATGGTGTCCTTTTTGCAGCGCCTCTCTGCCTACCTTTCCCAGAATTCTCCTTGTCTCCTAGTCCTGCCTCTATGGCCAGTGTTTTATTCATCAACCAATAAGAGAAACATGTGCACAGCGCAGCACCTGTACTAGGTAGTCTTCTGATTGCTCTGATCAAATACAGAGTAGGCTTACGGAGGGAAGGGTTTATTCCACCTCTCAGTTTGAGGCTAGGCTCCATCATGGAGGGGAAGATGTGATTGCAGGATCCTGGGGTTGCTGGTTATATTATGTGGGAACTCAGGAAGTAAGGAGAGATGAAGGCTGGTGTTCAGTTCACTTTCTACTTTCCCTCATCTCTTCCACACCCAGCCCATGGATGGTGTTGCTCACATTTAATTCAGGGTGGATCTTCCCTACTCGGTTAAACCTCTTTAGGAACACCCTTGTCCTCATCCTGCATATCTTTGACCTGACCTGGGGCCACAGGGAATGAAGAAACAACAAACACAAATAAAGCTGGGACCAGGTAGGGGTGCACTCAGATGGAGAGGCACCAGCAGCAGCTGGGAGGCTCACCACATTAGGGCTTCTGTGTAGGGGACTGAAGTCATCTGGGGTGGAAACTGCAGACAGTACTTTCTGTTGGACAACCCTAGACCAAGAAGAAGGCCTTGCATTCTTCTGAATCTGGAATATTAGCATCCTTGTCATGGCCATGCTCATGACAACAAAACACATTAACTCGGGGCTCCATCCATTCCCTGCAACCTCACAGATATCCCAGAGGTGTGTCTCCTAGGCGCTTCCAAATCTCAGTATGGCAATGAAGATGAATCCCTCCCTCCATCACAAAAGAGCTCTTTTGATGAATATACTGGTCAGAAAATAGACAAAGGTTATAAGCAACGATTTCATGGGTGTTCAAGCTCATCCATCTGGGATACAAACAAAAAGACACTTTCTAATCCAGGCATCCTCTCTCATGTTAGTTAGCCAAGACAGGCAGCCTCTGGCATCAAAGAATTGCATGGACTGTGTGTTATGGACATGGTGGGGCCAGCAAATGGTTCAGTGGGTAAAGGAGCCTGCTACCAAGCTTGCCAACCTAAATTTGATCCCAGAACCCAGATGAAAATTGCCTCTGATTTTCATGTGTGTACTATGACACGAGCACATGGGTATTCATGCACAAATAGAAGATAGAAAGACAGATAGATGAAAAAATCAAAATAGGAGAATGTAGAAACAACCTAATGGTCCATCAATCAAGTGGGCTCAGGACATACCCATCCCTGCAGTTCTCCCGAACAGCTGTGTCCTTTAATGTGGTATCATTCCCACAACAGAGAGTGAAACATTACAGTGCACAACGCCTTTGGGAAAGCGTCAGCACATCAGACACTGTGGGTGGGATCAGAGAGGGCCAGTGTCAGACAGTCAGGTGGCCACATTATTTAGTCACCATGATTTCCTCTGGGTGGAAGGATTAGGTTTTTGGTTTTGTTTTAGGGAATGCAAATGGAAGTATTTGCAATGCTATTTTCTTCCCTTGGATTATCTATATAGCAAGGAGGGAAGTTCAGAAGTATTGACCTCATTTTCTTTTTTTCTCCCTTCCTTCCTTCCTTCTTTTCTTCCTTCCTTCCTTCCTCCCTTTCTTTCTTTCTTTTCCCCTTGGCTTTTTGAGACACTATATATCCCTTACTAGCCTGGAATTTTCTATGTAAACCAGGATAGCCTGGAACTCACAGAGATCTACCTGCCCTTCCTCCCCAGTACTAGGATTAAACCATACCATGACTTCGTTTTCTGGCCATGAAGATATACATTCAGGGTAGGGGTACACCACAGTGGTGGAGCACTTGCCTAGCATGGGTGAGGCCTAAAGTCCCATCTCCACTACAGAATAAAAGAAGTGTGTGTGTGTGTGTGTGTGTGTGTGTGTGTGTGTGTGTGTGTGAATGATAGTATTTGCTATGTTAGTATTAGTCCAAAGAAATAGAGCAAGCAGCTACCTGCTGCTGAATGCCAGGACACATTCTGAAACATGTGGGGTTGGGATCAGTTTTGTACAAACTGAGACAGCTACCATGCCACTAGGTGATGTAGCCTATGAGACCAGTACCCTATGTGCTGTCCCCTGTTGAGCCAAGTGTGATAGTGTAAGAGGTGCCTGACTGCATCTGTATTTAAGAGAAGGAGACGCTGGGGATATGGCCCAGTTGGTAGAGTACTTGCCTAACAACCCGAAGCTCTGGGATTAACCCCCAGCAGCACATAACCTGGTGGTGGTGCACACCTGTAATCCCAGCACTTTGGAGGCAGAGGCAAGAAGTTCAGAAGTTCAAGATCATCCTCTACTACATGGGGAATTCAAAGCTAACTTGGGACACTTGAAACCTTATCTCCAATCCGAAAGAGAGGGAGAGAGATCTAGTATAAGGAATTAGATCATGGATTTATAGTCTACAAGCTGGAAGAGGCTTCCCAGAGGCACCATTCAGCCTTAAACTGAGAATCTGAGATCCACGGGAATCCATGGGGACAATCCCTGGTCCAGGGCATGAGAGAATGTGAGCCATCCCAGTTCCACAGTGAGTCAGGAAAAGGGTGGAATTCCCTCCCAGCTTGCCATGGAAGGGATGAGACCTGGGACCTTGGGGAGCACATCTGAGATTCAGATGTGCAACTCCTCTGGGAATATCTTCTGCCATTCCATGGTCATCACACAAAATTAACCATCACACAGGCTTAGTCTAAAAACATGGAAAATACAGAAAAGAAGAGAATCCGTTACCCATAATTCCCCACCCCTGTGATGTGCACAGGTGAGTTCCTTGAAAGTGGGGCCATAAAAAAAAAAAAAAAGGAAAGGATAATGTGAGAGCGATGTAAATGTTATCGCCCAGGCGTTCCTTCTCTACTTGGGGACACCCATCCCAGTTAACATCCACAGTGTTTTAAGCAATGCACCTTTGGCCAAGGACCCAGCTGGGCATTGGGATAAATATTCCGCCCAGTATGTTACAGAGCAGGAAAAGCTTATGGCCGGGTTCACACCCAAACGACACCATATAATAGTTGAGTAAGGCCTTTGCCTCCTACCCTCTTAACCCCTAAATCTGGTACCAGGTCCCATGATCTTCATGGTAGTTACTTGGGAAGGAAGGGTTTGTTTGGGCTCAGAGTTGAGGGCACAGTCTGTCCTAGCAGAGAAACATGGTGGTGGGAGTGTGAGGCAGCTGGTCACATGGCAACCACAGTCAGGGAGCAGAGGAAGATGGACGCTGGTGCTCAGCTCAACTTCTCCTTATTATTCAACCCAGGACCCCAGACCATGGGATGGTGCAGCCCACATTTAGGAGGGGTCTTCCCACCTCAGCTAACCCAGTCTGGAAATCCCATAGGGGCAAGCTTCTCTCTTAGGTACTTCTAGATCCAGCCTAGTTGACAATCTCATTAACCACCACAACCTTGATGTATTTGTTCCCCCATCTGTAAAATGGGCATAATAAAAGCCCTTATAGTGCAGTTAGAAATGGGAACTTGGTTCCTCTATGCTAAGATATTTACTGATTGCTTCTAGAGCCCTCATGTGGTTTGCAGAGTTGGCATGTGCAGACCTAGTCCTCATAGGCAACCCCGAGTCCACTTTTTGTGGCCTTTCAGTGACTTGAGTGTGTGCTGACACTCTGTTTGTCATCCTGCAGCCAGGAGGAGGAGGAAGAGGAGGAGGCCTCCTCACGGTACTACGTACCCAGCTATGAAGAAGTGATGAACACAGGCTACTCGGAAACCAGGGGGCAGGAGCAGAACCCGAGGCTAAGCATCTCTCTCCCCTCCTATGAGTCGCTGACGGGGCTCGACGAGACCACCCCCACCAGCACCAGGGCTGAGACAGAGGCCAGCCCAGGGCATGCTCCTGACAGGCAAAACTCCAAGCTGGCCAAACGCCTGAAGCCACTCAAAGTTCGAAGGATTAAATCTGAAAAACTTCACCTCAAAGACTTCAGGATCAACCTCCCAGACAAGAACATTCCTCCTCCCTCTATTGAGCCTTTGACTCCTCCGCCACAGTACGATGAGGTCCAGGCGAAGGCCCCCGATGCCCGGCCTCCCGACTGAATGGCCCTCCTGACTTCATTCCCTCCTGTCACCCTCCACACCAACAGACTGCGCCGAAGCCACTTCAACCCCAGATGAGGGGTCGGGGCACACTTAGCCACTGTGATGGGGATTCTGGGTAGAGGGAGTAGAATGGTTCACAGAGCCTCACATAGCAGGAGGATGCTGGGGGCTTGTCATACCCTGGACCACAACAAGGTGTGCGGCCTTGGCCTCCCCTCCACCTTCCTTCTCAACTCGGGGTTGTTGTCAATACACTCCTCTTCTGAGCCGGGACAGGATCCTTAGTGACTGGGTGTGGACCGAGTTGTCTCCTTCGCTTCCACTACAGTTGCTGTGTTTCAAAAGGAAACCAAGTTTTGTGCTTGCTTTCTTCACTGGAGCTTTGAACAGGCGGAGACATTGGCTCAGCGTTGGCCAAAAGGACACAGAACTGTCTTGTGGATAAAATGACGACTGTGGGGGTGAGTGTCCGGGAGACCCCTAGGGGTTCCTGATGCTGTCGGTTCTTTGAGGGTCTGAGGCCTGATGACCTTCAGCGTGTGACACACGAAGTGGTTGTCTTGATTTGGTACACTGCTTTCCCATGGGTAATGAAAGGCAAGAGAGGAGAAGCCGCTGTTCCGTGGTGTCTCCTCAGATGCCATGCGGCTGGGCATTTTATAATAAAGTGTTTTTTTATGTGGCACACCTGACCATTGAGTCATTTCAGCAGGAGGATACCAGTAATGACAGCTAGTCAATATGGACACTTAATTGACTGAGAGTTACGTTCTGTGGACCAGAGGAGTTATCCCATGTCACCCATACCCAAATCTGATGCCCTGTTATTCTGCAGATTAGCTCACAGGCTTGGGTTCTTGCAGGCTCCCCATATTGCACCACTAACGAGTGAGTACTTTTGAGTTTAGACCAGCTCGCTCCAGAATCTGAGTTTTCACTCTCTCTGCCAAGTAACTTGGTAAAAGAACATTTATCTGACTACTTGGAAGGAGACCTGAGGCTGCCCTGTCAACCTGCAGGTCACATAGAAGTCACTGGCAGCTTAGGGTAGACCTCCTCACCCCCACCCCAGGCAGCCAGGAAGGAGCTCAGCCTGTCACCTAACCCCCAGCACTGGCTGGAGGTAGATGTGTCCTCTAGAGGACACTGTCTACAGAGCACCTTGGAGTCTGAAGAAGACAGAGTGCTTGGGTTCTGAATGTGTCACAACAAGCTCGCAGAAGCTAGAAGGGAAATTACAGGCTTAGCCCGAAACCAGATGGGATGACATTAAAAGGGTCACATCAGTGTGAAAGACTGAACCGGGGATGTGGTTCAGTGGGTAGTGGGCTTGCCTCACATGCAGAAAGCCCTGAGTTCGATCCCCAGCTCCACATAAGTCAGGTTGATAGTGCACACCAGTAACCCTGGCACTCAGGAGCCAGAGGCAAGAGGATCAAGAATTCAAGGTCATCGTCTGTGAGTTCAATGCTAGCCTGAGCTATATGAGACCCCGTCTCTCAAAACACAGTGTGTAAAAACAGTCTCTCTGTGTGCATTAGTGTGTGTGTGTGTGTGAGAGAGAGAGAGAGAGAGAGAGAGAGAGAGAGAGAGAGACTGACACACCGAGAGAAAGAAAGGAAGAATGTTTGGGTTTTTATGTATTTATTTATTTAAGAAATAAGGGGTGGAGAAAGACTAAAAAGGTAAAAGCAAAAGAAAAGCTTCATCCTTTTGCATTCCTTCTTGTTACTTTTCTTTGGGTGCTAAGGATTTAATACACCACACACACCACACCATCACCACCACACACCACACCATCACCACACACATACACCACACCATCACCACCACACACCACACCATCACCACACCCACACACCACACCATCACCACACACACACACATCACACCATTACCACACACACACACCACAACATCACCACCACACACCACACCATCACCACACACACACACACATACACACACACACCACCACCACCACCACCACAACCACCATCATCACCACAATCACCATCATCACCCCATACCTGGCACATGCTAGACAAGGCTGTGCCCCTGAACCCCATCCCCAGCCCTCTTCTGTCACATTTTCTTAAGGCAAATAGAAGAAGGCAGAGATCAGGGACAAAACTCAAGAAGTCACCCAGGTGTTCTTGGGCCTACATGGGCTCAGGACTATGGAACAGCAAAGAGAGAATCTCATCCGATGAGTGTTAAAACTCATCCAGCTGTGTCCCCGACCCACGATAGGAGGAACCTCAGCAGTCTTGTGGATGCCGAGTGACCTCCATACTTTCAGGTTACAGCTAAAGGAACTTGAGGAAACCGACAAGGAGCTGATCTGGGTGAGCCTCCATCACTCTGGGAATTTGGTCCCCGACTGTGTGAGTGGAGATTGGGAGCACCTGCACACATGCAACTACTGCTCCAGGCTTTTGGACAACTGGTGCAGTGTGGCCAGTTGACTGCTGTGACATCCCCAACATAAGTACCCTAACCTGAACGTCAAAGCCCTTCGTGTTGCTAATTTTTAAAGAATACATTCATTTGTGTGTGTGTGCACACGCATGAGTGTGTATGTGTTTGAGAGTGTGCATGAGAGCGTGCGTGCATGCTCGCGCATCACAGTGAACACGTGGAAATGAGAAGAAAACTTGGCAGGTGTGAGCTCTCTCCTTTCATGCTGTGCTGAAGGGTTTAAATTCAGACTATCGGGCAGGAAGGAGGGCACAGCATCTTCTATGAAACTCCCAGCTCTCCCAGGGTCAAGGACAAGGACAAGGACTATCGTGATAAATAAGGATCAGGATAAACAAATAGGCCGAATAGATGTTTATTTAGGGAGAAATAATTTATAACTTAGACAGATGAACACCAGGAAATTCAACCCGATCCTCTCCTGTCCGAGTCACGCCAGAAAGAGAGAGCGCCTTTTCTGGCCCCCTCCGACCTCCTTCCACAGGTCACTTCCGCCCATGGCTCCACCCCCCAATGGGTGTGGTCAGTGCCAGAGAAGGACTATCTCACTACAAAGGACTGAGGGTCCTCAGAGGTGGCTTCCTTCTGCAGCCAGCTTCATTCTCTCTACAATGCAGCCTTCCCTGCTTCCCTCACCTTGGCCTTCAGGACAGTCCCCTGGAGACCCTTCATCTCTGAGATCCCATTAGCCATCATCCAGTCCATCTCACCTTTGCACGAGGGAGTCCATTCCTGTAAGTTGTTTCACATGTCCACCATGGCATACGTGTACCTATGCACCAACAAAATAATAAAAAGAATTCTTTAAAAAAGAAGAAGAAAACCAGTCATCCTTCGAGATCAGCCTGAGTACCACTTAAGAGTTTTCCTTTTTATAAGTAGCTTTTACAAAAGCGATTTTCCTATTCCTCCTCGAGCCCCCCACCCCTACCCCTGTCTAGATGTAAAGTCTAATTCCCTGTGGCATCACAGGGACATACTTCTGGTCTCTTTCTCCTTCTCTGCCTCTGTCCCCAGCCTGCCTTTAACATAACTTTACAATGCTGCCACAACCTGGAATTTATTAATATTCTATGAAAAGATATGAGAAAGATAATGGTCAGTGTGCCTACAAAGTCAAATACACTCTGGAAATTTGTAGATTATTTAGCTGTGTGCTTGGAGTAGACAGAGAGCATGGAACAAAATAAAATGACCAGAATAAAATTATGGCATGGCTTTTCTGGGTTGTAAATCTCAGGCAGAAGAAAGAAAGAAAGAAAACGTCAGATAAAACAGCATGGCGCCTAGAGATAAGCCTCGGCACCATGGAGAATTCAGGAACCGTGTGGGACTTCAGAACCAGACAAATGTCTGTTCTTCCTATCTGTCCTTGCACTGCCATATCTGTCACCAGCATCCAATGGAAAAATAATATGCTGAGGAGACTGCAAACTTTTGCTTCTGTAATAAAATCTGATAAACCACGTGGATAGCGTTTGCATGGAAAGGAGGGAGGATTGATATAAGCCAGTGCATAAAGGCACCTGTGACATACAATTTTCTGCCTCTTTCAAGATTAAATGAAGGGAAATGAGAGCTACATTTTCTTATTTCTGATAAATGTCTTGTTTGTTTTCAAAATCAGATCCCAAGTATTCACCCACAAGCTATTTTGTTGGTGATTTTTTTTTTTTTTTTTTTTTTTTTTTTACTCTTGGCAAGCTTTGCCAAGAGTAAATTTATTTCAGCATCAGAATCCACACAAAGGCAGCAGAGAAATGGTAACAGAAATACACGTCTTCCAGGGGATGCCGTGGAAGGAAGGCAATCATTTTAATGACTTCAAAGATAATGCTGAGGTAGACAAGATGGCTCAGTAGGTAAAAGTGATTGGAGTGCAAGCCTAATGACTTGAGTTCCATCCCTGACCCCTGCACATTGTCCTCTGGCCTCCACTCTCATTCAATACCAAGCATACACACATGCATGTGTACACACTGAATAAATGCATAAATGTACTAAGAAAAACATTTTAGCAGTAATATGTCGATGGTGAGATGGTTGAACTTGTAAAGATGACCTGAGTTCAACTCCCAGAGTCCTAGTCTGGGTTACTATTGCTGTGATGAAAAACACACTAAAAAACAAATTGGGGAGGAAAGGGTTTATTCAGCTTACACATCCATATCTGTAGTTCATCCCAGAAGGAAGTCAGGTCAGGACGTCAAACAAGACAGAAACCTGGAGACAGGGGCTTAAGAAGAGGCCATGGAGGGGTGTGGCTTACTGGCTTAGTCTGCATGACTTGCCTACCCTGCTTTCTTATGGAACCCAGGACCAGCAGCCAGGGATGGCACCCACAATGGGCTGGACCCTCTTGCATTGGTCACTAATTAAGAAAATCTCCTATAGGCCCAATCTTATGGAAGCATTTTCTCAGCTGGGGTTTCTTCCTATTAGATGAATCTAGCCTATGTCAAGTTGACATAAAATTAGCCAGCACACCTGGCATTTACATAGGTTGTCCTCTGACCTCCATATACAAGCTGTGGCATGTGCCCTCACACATGCAGATCATGCACACAGACAATAAAAATAATTTTTAAAAGATAATGCTGTCAATTAAAAACATTCACTTCATAAATTAAAGTGCCAAAAAGCAACCCACAACTGCAACCACAAATTTT